TGATAAACTTAAATAAAAGCTAATTATTGAAAAAATTATTTCTAGTTGCACTAAGATAATTATAGTACGGAATAAATTTAAATATAATAAATATTAAATAAAACTATTAAATATTAAAAAACATTAATTTAATAATATAATAATAGAGAATGTTCTTTTTAGTGGTTGGAGATGAAATAAATTTTAGTGTCAAAACTGCACTAAATATAAATGTGATTTTCACACTAAAATAGTGTTGTGGTTGGAGATGGCGTTATAGGCCCAATATAAGCCCAAAACGGAAGCCACCTGAGAAGTCAGTGGGGACGCAGATTCCTATAAAAAGCAAAATGCGTCGTCACAAAGGAAGAAGAACAAGTCCATCTCACGAGTTTCATTTACTCACTTTCGTGAATCCCTCTCTGGGAAGAAGAAGACGAAACACGAAGAAAGGGCAAACAAAAAGCAACTAACATTGATACAAACCCTAGATTTTTTTCGATTTCGGCGAGGCGTAATGTCGGAGCTGGAGATTTCGCCGGCGATTCACGACCCGCAAGGGCAAGAGAAGCAGCAACAAGCCGCCGGAGTTGGGATTTTGCTTCAGATCATGATGCTTGTTCTCTCTTTTGTACTCGGTCATGTCCTTCGTCGTCATAAGTTCTATTATCTACCCGAAGCTAGTGCTTCGCTTCTCATCGGTTTGTTTTTTCTCTTCTTCTTACTCGTTTTGCAGTGCGATCGTCCTCATCGATTTCCATTGAGGTTTTTGTTTGATTCCTTGTGAAATTTGTGGAAATTTAGGGTTGATCGTTGGTGGTTTAGCGAACATCTCGAACACGGAGACTAGCATAAGGTTCGTTGAAGTTCTTATCGAATTTTTAAGTATTATTCTCATTTTTTATTGCTATTTTTCTGTCCTTTCTCCACTGACCTGGAAAACACAAAGTGGTGTAATTACTTGCATATACATACATGAACATGTCTTAGTATTATCCATGGCTAATCAATTTTGCTTTTTCTCCAGGACATGGTTCAATTTCCACGATGAGTTCTTCTTCCTGTTTCTGCTTCCGCCCATCATATTATATCCTTAATTGCTTACCTTTATAGTTTACTTATGTCTCTATGATACTGAAATTGGCAACACTATATATGTTGTTTTCCTTGACGTACTTGTTTGCACCCAGTCAGGATTCAGTCTACAGCCCGTAAGTGCAGAGAGCTTTCATGTCTTTATTGGTTTTCTTGTTGTTCCATTCTTCATGATGCTTACGTTGTTGCTGGGTTTTATGCAGAAACCTTTCTTTTCAAACTTTGGAGCCATTGTCACTTTTTCTGTACTTGGAACTTTTGTAGCTTCCATTGTTACTGGTGTGCTAGTGTATGTATCTCTGTCCTGTGAATTGCTTCTGTTTTATTGATGGGAAAAGGTCCTCTTTACATTATTCACAAGTTCCTTTTTTTCTATTGAAGGTACCTTGGCGGTGTGATGTTTCTCATGTACAGACTTCCATTCGTTGAGTGTCTCATGTTTGGCTCTCTTATCTCAGCCACCGATCCTGTCACTGTTTTGTCTATATTTCAGGTACTTTCTTTTACTACTTTACGGAGAGATTCTTAATTTTCTGGACAGTAGATTTCTACCACTTCTTACTACTGTATTGTTTTGCAGGAACTTGGCTCGGACGTAAATCTGTATGCCCTGGTGTTTGGAGAATCAGTTTTGAATGATGCTGTTAGTAGTTTTTAACTAGTGATTTCTGATTCCTTATATTAGGATGAAAAATATCACAATACTTATCAGGTTTTTGTCTTTCTTATGTTGCTTTTGGCAGATGGCCATATCTCTGTACAGGTATGTATGCTAATTCACAATATGCTGTAAAAGACGATAGTCACATGGTAGGATATATTAACAAGGCTATAAACTGGTATGCAGGACAATGTCCTTGGTGAGAAGTCACTCATCTGGACAGAATTTCTTTATGGTGATAGTCAGGTTTCTTGAAACCTTTGTAGGTTCAATGTCTGCAGGTTTGCTTTTATATCTGCCTTACTTTCTCTGTCTCTATACTTCATGCATGGTTTGGCTCATGGTAGCGCTTGAGTTTGAGACTGCTGCTAAAAACTTGAAGTTATAAACAAATTCGAGAAACCTAAGAAAAATAACATATGAATATCAAACTAATTTTTCATATTAAGCATTTCAACGTTTTCCCATGTCATTATATATTCCTATATCTGTGCTTTGTGGGTTATTAAAGAGATATATGCGTGCTTCTGCAGGGGTTGGAGTTGGATTTACTTCTGCTCTCATATCCTTTTTTGGGTTTACTTTTTATGAAACATTTTTACTTAATTTTATAATTCTAAACGAGTTGTTAGCCTTAATGCAAAGCACCTCTTCAAGTATGCAGGGCTGGATGTTGACAAGTGAGTGACCATAGTTCTATGTCTGAAACTTGCTTGATTTCGATTCTAGTGGTCAGCAGTGAAATATTTTATTCTGATTTTCTCGCTTCTCCTTTCAGTCTGCAGAACTTGGAGTGCTGCCTCTTTGTGCTTTTTCCTTATTTCTCGTAAGTAATTTTGAAACTTTCCTCCCATATATAATTAGTTGTATGTCTTCTTTAGTTCACCCTCATAGAAATTGTAAAGTTTGTTGACTTTTTTTTCCTTTGTGCTAGATACATGCTTGCTGAAGGTCTCAGTCTATCTGGCATCGTATCGATTCTATTTACTGGGATTGTAAGTTGTCATTCGCTTACATGGATTCTGTGTGATATGATTCTTAGCCAAAAGTAAAGTAGTTTAATGGAAGTTGTCTGTGCCTTTCAGGTCATGAAGCATTATACCTACTCAAACTTGTCTGCAAATTCTCAGCGATTTGTGTCTGCATTTTTTCATCTGATATCTTCCCTGGCAGAGACATTTGTGTATGCATTTCCTTCTTATACTCTCATGCCTCTTGATAGCTGATTTTTCTAATATGCTTCAATGACCTGACCTATAATTTCAAATGATCAAATTTTCAGGTTCATCTACATGGGTTTTGATATTGCCATGGAAAAGCATAGTTGGTCACACGTGGGATTCATCTTTTTCTCTATTGTATCCTCTTACCCAAGTTCTACTAAATTGAAATTCAACTATTCCTTAGTTTATATAAACTGCTGTTGTTCCTTAACTTTCCTTCATCCTTGGTGATGATACTCAGCTGTTTATCGTAATTGCAAGGTACACTTTTTTGTTCACTTCAGTATCTTTCCACACCATGTCTGTGTGTATAAATACATACAGTACATTATTTCCAAATTGCAATTTTTGTGTTGTTTTTCGTGTCTGATAATGTTACTCTTGGGCATATTTGTCATACGCAGGGCAGCTAATGTGTTTGGTTGTGGATATTTGGTCAACCTGGCACGACCTGCTGATAGGAAAATACCAATGACGCATCAAAAAGCACTTTGGTACAGTGGTAAGATACTACTCTTTGTTTTCATATGTAGTTATTGTTTTCAATTCATCAGTAAGAAGTAACAAAAACATGTGGATTGCACAGGACTTCGAGGTGCTATGGCTTTTGCTCTTGCTCTGCAATCTGTTCACGATCTCCCAGAAGGACATGGTCAAACTATATTCACTGCAACTACAGCCATTGTTGTTCTGACGGTAATCCATCCTTCTCTAGAAACCAACAATTTGCTGTACACCTGAGCTTGTCGATCAAATGGTTCTGTTGCTAATAGGTGAGCCAAATTATTTTGCTTTTTATGTGACCTTCTGAAACTTATATCAGGTCTTGCTAATTGGAGGATCCACTGGTACAATGCTAGAAGCCCTAGAGGTTGTAGGGGATAGTCGTGATACGTCCCTAGGTGATGTAAGTCAAGTCCTAGAGATGATTCTTTCTATTATAATGTGAATCTTGATCTCTTGATATGAAATCAACATGATTAATATCCTCTCTTTTTTTTGCCAGGGATTTGAGGTGGTGAACAATCGATACATGACAAGTTTTGATGATGAAGATTCACCATCAGGAAGTGGATTCAGGACAAAATTAAGAGAGTTCCATAAGAGGTAAATTACATAATAACTCACAAATTCATGCCCGCTTTCAAGTTTCTATCAAAACACTAAAATCACATATGTTTGTTCTCAGCGCGGCGTCATTCACAGAACTAGACAGGAACTACCTAACACCATTTTTTACAAGTAACAATGGAGAGTATGATGATGAGGAGGTTAGCAATGAGATTAGTCACGGTAAGTCGGTAACAACATACTAACTTATATGCTTTATTGTTTCCCTAAAACCATGAAATCTAAAAACGATTTTGCGACATTGGGTTTTTTGCAGAAGAACGAATTCCATTTGCTAGAAGAGGAAATCTAAATAACCGCGGCTAATATTTCTGAGACGAGAAACTTAGTTGTTGACACAAGGCATATACACTGAAGCAGCCGTTCATGTACATAAAACAAACTGGATCGGTCCGAGGAACTATGTACTAGTCAGATTACTGGATCGTGTTCTTTCTCTGAAACCTTGGTGGATATTGTTTGGCTAATTACATTCACACATAAAAAAAAAAAAAGAACTTCATGGCCATGGCTGGTTTAGACTCGTTTATCCCACGAATCTTGTCCTCTAGATTTCGCTATTAAATCTCCTCTCAAATTCCATAATTCCTTTGTCTTTTGTAGTCGTTTCCGGTTTGAAATTTGTAGCTATTAAATAGAGAACGTCACGGCACGCCAAAAGTGTGGACCGTATTTAGTTGCAAGTAACCAAAAACTCTTCTAAATATCTCTCATCATCTATTTCTCTCTCTTGCTTCTTCTCTCATGGCTGTTACTGGTTCATCAATCACAATCTGAAATCCTTCTTCTTTCTCTCTCCCGAGTTTTCGCGGAGCTAACACGATGAGTCTTGTGGTTGGTCAGTCGTTGGGTTTAACTCTAGTAGTCGGTGATGGTATTTCGTTGCGCAATTCGAGAAGAAATGCCGGAAAATCTAAGTTTTTCTTTGTGAATCGGAGGAGATCATCGCGTGCGGCTCTGGTTCAAGCTAGACCCAGAGAAGATGGAGCTGCGGCGAGTCCTTCTCCGTCGTCGAGAGCGACGAATACATCGTCGGTTGTGCAATACCGACGAGCTGATCTAGCGGATGATCTTCAAGCTGAGGCGCGAGCTTTGGGTCGTGCAGTTGATGCTTCTGTTTATTCTCCAGAGCTTATCGCCAGGAAACATGGCTCTCAGCCTCTCAAGGTTAGCTTAAAGGTTTTGAAATTTTTGTAAAATTCTCTGAGAGAGGTGAAACTGAGAGATGCAATCACAATTTTGGGACTTAGGCTTTACGGAGAAGTTTGGAGATATTGGTAGCTTTGGGTGGTTTCGCTTTGAAATTGGGGATTGATCAAAGACAAGGTAAGCTAGAGAAGAACATGAAGAAGAGAGCTGGTGAGCTCCGGAAGATTTTCACTCGTCTCGGACCTACTTTTGTTAAATTAGGTCAAGGTTTATCCACCCGACCCGACCTCTGTCCACCGGATTACCTAGAAGAACTTGCAGAGCTTCAGGTCCACCTCTTTCCGCTCTTAGTTTGCTCGATATTCCTTAGATGTTGAGAACCTCTCTAACTTTGTATATTCCTATGTGTTTTGAGTGGCTAAGTAGGATGCTTTGCCAACCTTCCCTGATGCAGAGGCCTTTGCTTGTATTGAAAGAGAGTTGGATTTGTCTCTAGAATCCATTTTCTCCACTGTATCCCCGGAGCCAATCGCGGCAGCTAGTCTTGGCCAGGTTTACAAAGCTCAGCTGAGGTATTCGGGTCAGGTTGTTGCGGTCAAAGTTCAACGCCCTGGAATCGAAGAAGCCATTGGTCTTGACTTTTACCTTATTAGAGGAGTTGGGAAACTCATAAACAAGTATGCAGACTTCATCACTACCGATGTACTTACCCTTATCGATGAGTTTGCCTGCAGAGTTTATCAGGAGCTAAATTATGTTCAGGAGGCGCAAAATGCTAGGAGGTTTAAGAAACTGTATGCTGATAAGGCAGATGTTCTTGTACCTGATATATTCTGGGATTACACGAGCCGCAAAGTGCTAACAATGGAATGGGTCGAGGGAACTAAACTGAACGAACAAGTTGCCATTGAGAGTCAAGGTTTGAAGGTTTTAGATCTTGTAAATACAGGAATCCAGTGTAGTCTAAGGCAACTCTTAGAGTATGGATTTTTCCATGCTGATCCTCATCCTGGTAATCTCTTAGCAACACCTGATGGGAAACTTGCGTTTCTAGACTTTGGCATGATGAGTGAGACACCGGAGGAAGCTAGATTTGCTATCATAGGCCACGTTGTTCATTTGGTAAACCGAGATTATGAAGCCATGGCCCGAGATTACTATGCTTTGAAGTTCTTGTCGCCTGATGTAGATGTTACTCCCATCGTACCAGCTCTCAGAGACTTTTTTGACGATGCACTTAACTATACAGTTAGCGAGCTCAATTTCAAAACACTGGTTGATGGTCTAGGTGCTGTCTTCTATCAGTATCCATTTAATGTCCCAGCCTACTATGCTTTGATTTTGAGGTCGCTTACTGTGCTTGAAGGTTTGGCACTTTACGCAGATCCTAATTTCAAAGTGTTAGCTGCATCATACCCGTATTTTGCGAAAAGGCTTCTCACTGATCCGAACCCATATCTAAGAGATGCCCTTATTGAGCTTCTGTTCAAAGATGGAAAGTTTAGGTGGAATAGACTTGAGAACCTTCTACAACAGGGAAGTAAAGATAGGGATTTCTCAGCAAAAGATGCTCTACAACCCGTTTTGAAGCTGCTGCTGGATCCAAACGGTGAAGAGCTTCGACTGTTAGTAATTAAAGAAGCTGTACGAGTCAGTGAAGCGATTGCTCTGGGCACCGTTGTTGATACATACAATTCCATGCCTGAGTTTTTAAGATCTCTTGTCTTCAATGGAAATGGGAATGGGCCTCTAACAATGAGTGCCACAGAACTCGAAAGCACGCTTGAGCTTCGGGACCAGGTCTCAAGAATCTGGGGACTTCTTCAATCTTCAGAAAGCTTTGACCCAGCTATTTTGCAGCCAATAGTACAGGTAATATTTCTATTGACTTGTGCACTAACCTATAATCTACTTGATTTATGTCCTAAACTCTTAGTTTGTTAATCAGGTGTTACAACAACCAGAAGCACGAAGACTTGGAGGACGTGTTGCAGGCGGTGTAGGGCAACGTCTTGCAGCTCGGTTTCTGCAACAACTCCTTCGAGCCACAACACCATCTTCGTCATCACCAAGCTCATAGGTTCTCTTTTCTTTTCAATGAAATGGTAAATTGTATATTAAGGCGAGACACACTCGCAAACCACAGAATTGCTTCATGTTATATAGTAATAGTATCATTCTTTCTCTTTGTATTATACTAGTGAAAAAACCAAAGTATAACCGATGAAAAAATGGCTCAACAAAAACTAGCACTTGATTCCAAAATCGAATCATCTTATGTTCATATGATAACTTTTTTCATGTAGTTTCTCCCTTATAACTGTCGATGG